TGATTAAGGATTCGTTACCTTGTACAACACCGCTGGAGCAATCGTTGGAGGGAGAAGAGGTGGAGGCTGCACCGGTGGCCATTGGGCGAAGAAGGAAGCTCAGGCGAAGGAGGGAGAAGAGGTGGAGGCTGCACCGACGCGCCTCTGTATTGCAAACCCCAATCCGTTCCAAATGAACAAAAGCCATCAAACCCTAAAAACAATTGTGAGAAGCATCTTGGCCCTTGCCCTCCAATCGCGCCTAAGCCCGTTTTGTTTGTTCTGGATGCACCCCCCCCCCCCCTTTTGTCTATCATTCTGATTAATCCATTTGGGCCCAAACCTCCCTTAGCCCATGTTCTTTTGTTTTTAACACAACTAACCTTTTTATCATTTAATTAACTTTTCTTTTACTTATCTTTTATTAATTTTATTTAAACTAATAACTAATATCTTTTTTTTGTTAAATAAAATAATACCCTTTTTTTTTAAATATTATTACTTGTTACATTTTTTAGAAAATATACAAACATCAATTCTTTCCTAAATTTGAAACATTTTTCTTTTCCCTTTTATACATAAAAATATTTATTAAAATACATTAATACATGAAAAATGGAACTTAAAACCTTTTCCTTTCTTTTATTAAAATTTTCTTATTTGTACATATTAAACAAAAATATGAAAATACAAATTTAAATCAAATGTGTACATAATACAAAAACAAATACATACTTAATAGTTACATTAAAATTCACATCTCAAACTTGTAAATACATACACTTACACATTTACAATACACAAATACATTTACATTACTCTTATACGCATTTGCTTATCTTATACATTGCTATACTTACATATTACATTTGCGCAGTTCGATTGGGTTGTAAATTATTTGGACACTACATTCCTAAAGTCTCATCCCCATTTGTAAATTTGTACCCCCACTCCCGGATACTGTTTGTAATAGCGTAGACTTTAAATTCTCGCAATTTATCGCTTTCAAAATATACCATGGTTAGACCTAGGGTTTGTATGTACATAAAATCAAACGCTAGATAACCTAATACAAAGACAAATACATGAAATCAATACACAATCACACTTGCACCCCCTAGGGTAATCCCACATGTTGCCTTCCAAAATGGGCCATGCTTGCACGTCGAGTTTCTTTGGCAAAACAAATTCAAATGATCATAAGTCCCTCGATGACGCTTTCGAAAGTCGCCTATCAAAATGATCAAGTCCCTTCAAGTAAAATTGCCAAAGAAACTTGGCACCATTGCATTCATGGTCCATACGATGACCCACGCCCGTCCCGTTAAACTTCCTAAACGCAAGATTGTCCACCAAATTCAATGGTGGAACAAAATTGTTAAAAAGGGTTGAAAACATAGAGAAAACCTTTGAGTACAATAGGGGGAGACAAAACTCTTAGTTACTTGAGATCAACTTGCAAAAACACTTGCCTTCTTTTCAAAAACCACACTCCACAAACACTTTCAAAACAAACTCTTTGAAACATCTTTTCGAAAAGACACACATCGTTGTATATACTCAAACACGAGTCATTACAATGGTTGCCGAAACAAAGGCGTCTATTTCAAAAAAACATTTTCAAAACACACACATACACCACAATTTCAAGCAATCGAAAATCAAGGCAAGTGATCTAAAAACCAAGTAACTAAGAGCCCATGGATAACCATGGATGGAAAGGGTGCTAATACCTTCCCTTTTCATAATCTACCCCCCGAACCCACAAAATATCTCAAAAGGTTTTTGCTGTGCTTTTTAACCTTTCCTTTAGGATAAAATAAAAAGTCGGTGGCGACTCTTGCTCCACCGAACAAGTGCGAATACAAACGTAAAACTCAAGTCAGTTCTCCCACCGTATCACAACCCTCTTAATGCGGGATGGATCGATCTAACTATTATCCTTTGGAAGCACGACACTAGGACGACCTGGGATGCGAGAACTATAGCAATATCAGTTTTAACGGAAATTCGAGATTTTCTTGTTGCCATTTTACTCGTTGTATTTCTTTTCTTTTTCGCAACTTCCTCATTTAGGAGTTGTTTCTGTGTATGAATTCCCATTCACGGGCCAAACTCATTAATAAGAATTTGCCCTTCCATTAAAAATCTTTGTTATGTTCTTTTACTTTATTTTTCGTATGCGAATTGTGATTTAAATTCTTTGTTAAGCATTGCATTGGAAATAATAAGTCAATGATAATCACGAGCTGAGATGTGAAACACTACATTACATGGATATGAAGGCATCCCAAGGGAATGTTGTAGCGTCCAAGTGTTCGTTCTTCTGTGCAGGTAGCAAGTCATAATGATCACCTTGACCAAGATTTCATCCTCGTCGCCTCCTTACATTTGACCGAGCGCCCGATTCTCCCACACAAAGAGACTTGGGGAATTGTTTGAGATCAATGTCTCTTTTCAGTCATTCACAAAAGTCCAACACTTGAAGGAAGTCAGATCAAGTCTTTTCTCCTCAGCAAGATTTAATTCCCCAATAAACTCGACGGGGCTAACCCTTTTCTCTCAAATTTTAAGCACCAGTCCATATTGGTATCTCAAGATGACGAGCAACAGATCCAAATGGGTTTTGGGCATTTTACATACAATAATCATCATGACATATTGCATTGCATCCTCAAACGCATAGCATATCCATGGATCATCATGTCACACCTCAAATGCATATGAAGCATGAGCAAGATCAATCCCAAATCAACAAAACACCCTCACAAAGAATAACATCCTCAAAAAAATTTCATCTTCATAATTCCCAGTTAACATCTGTTATCACACTACCAACTAAAATAAACCATGGTTTTAGTACGTCATGCCCCCCAACTCTCAATACTTACTTTATCTCTCTTAAGGTGGTAGGTCGTCTGTAGACTTTACCCTCTCATCATCTTTTTTCTAAGGTCGTAGATCATCCGTAGGTCTTACCGTCGAGTTATCTTTCTAAGGTCGTAGGTCGCCCGTAGATCTTACCTTCACTTTGTCTTCCTAGGGTCGTAAGTCGTCCGTAGACTTTACCCACTCATCATCTTTTCTTTTAAGGTTGTAGATCGTTCGTAGATCTTACCTTCGCTTTATCTTTCCTAAGGTCGTAGATCATCCGTAGATCTTACCGTCAAGTTATATTTTAAGGTCGTAGATCTTCCGTAGATCTTACCATAGTGGTGTCTTCTTAGGGTCGTAGATCGTCTGTAGATCTTACCTTCACATTTTAGGGTCATAGATCGTCTGTAGATCTTACCGTCGCTTTATCTTTCTAGGGTCGTAGATCTTCCGTAGATCTTACCTTCACTTTATCTTTCCTAAGGTCGTAGATCGTCCGTGGATCTTACCGTCGCGTCATCCTTCTAAGGTCGTAGGTCGCCCATAGATCTTACCTTCACTTCATTTCCTAAGGTCATAGGTCGTCCGTAGACTTTACCTTCTCCTCTTTACCTCTTTTAAGGTCGTAGGTCGTCCGTAGATCTTACCATAGCGTCATCCTTTTAAGGTCATAGATCGTCCGTAGATCTTGCCATCGCGTTATATTTTTAGGGTCGTAGATCTTTCATAGATCTTACCATCACGTTATGTTTTTAGGGTCGTAGATCGTCAGTAGATCTTGCCGTTGCGCCATATTCTTAGGGTCTTAAGTCTTCCGCAGACTTTACCTTCGTGTTATCCTTAAGTTTCTTACCTACAGTCGCTGCGATATTGTCAACCCTATCATTTTAGTCACTTTTCCACTCACTCCCTCAAAAACCTTGTATTGGCACCGTTACCTCGGTACAAGCTACCCCTTTTTTCAACCATGTTTTATCCATCATGACCAGTCCACCAGAAGACCAGTTTGTCTTTCCCCAGCAGACATTCACATCAATGAATGACACTCGTACCATCTCTCTAGGGCAAACTTCGGGTCCTAGTATTTAATCATCTTCCACCTTGAACTAAAGACTGACGCTAATCTCGCATTCAGGTTTAAGACGATTAAATAGGGGCAGCTGTCATACCCCAAATTTTCCCCATCTCTTTATTTTTATCTAGCTTTGAACTTTGCATTCCATTTGCATCATTTTATTATTCAGTCATTTGCATATCTTGCATCTCAGGGAATCAGGCGCTTTGGTTTAAAGTTTTAGGGTTGCACCCTCTTTATGTCTAATCTTGTTTTGAGGTTTTCTTATCAGGTAAAAGGGGAACGCATCTGGTTCTCGATTAATGGATCACGGAATGAATTTTATCGTCACGTTGCAAGGTTGGTTCTTGCTCAAATTTATCAGAGCCTAGTTTAGGGTTTATTTCCCTATGTGTGTTGGTCAAGATGCTAGGGTTTTCGGATTTTTGGTTTCTGTGAAGATGTTTCTTTCGCCTGCCTCGAGGATGGCTCAAAGCTCAGTGCATTAGGTCAAAAATCTCACCTCCTCGCATTTCAAGTTTCTTCTTAAAGCCTCTAAGTCGTTGAGTCGAGAGTTTGAAGTTTGAAATGGAAAATGTGGAATTCGAGCACTTCAGGAAATGAGGTTAAAGGTTCATGATAATCAAGACTTGTTTTTGTTGCTTAAGTTTCAAGTTATTGTGGGCTGAATGTCAAAGTCAGAGTTTTGTTCGAGAAGTGCGAGTATGGTTCAGGCATGATTTGAAGATCAAGGTTCAAGCGACTGGTGTTTTGGGGCTCGAATTAATCAGTGGAATTAAATTCTTAAACATTTATTTTGTTTGAGAGTTTGATCGGATTTTGAAAGATAAGACGCGTGTTTTGTTTGGAATACAAGTTATAACCATTATTCATGATTTCTTGAGATTTAAGTTACAAATTTGAGATGCGCATTCGAATTATTCGAGAGGAAATCTTAGAATTCAAACAAATTCACGAGTCATTTGATTTCCACAATAAGATTCATCATTGATAAGTTCGTTCCAATTCGTGCTCATTACATTTTTGAGACAATGTTACAAGGCATATTACAGTGTGAAATACAAATCACATTGGTTTGTTTACAAAAAAAAAGAGAAATAATTTGTGTTTCTTCAAGTCATTCGTCCTCGCCTTGGTACTTTCATCGTTCAATCTCGCTTTGGATCGTCCAATAATCGTGCTCATGAAACAAGAAAAAAGAAAAGTTAGTGATCAAACACATGGAAAAAATTCAAACAAGAATTATTTGATTAATGTCATCATAAGGGTTTGCGTTTGGAATCAGTCAGGGAGTTATTTTTCATCATGGTTTATTTTCTCCCAATTGCAAATCACAAAAAGGAAAAAAGAAAAAAGATTGCAAATGTTTCCTGTTGCTAAAGTAAAAAACAGCATCAGCCAAAACCAAAACAAACTGTCAAAACAAGCATAGTGCGCAGGCCAACAACAAGCATAGCAGGCTAGCCAAATGCACAGAAGCAAAGCAGCAGCATAGCGCGCAGGCCAACAACAAGCATAGAAGGTCAAGGCAAAACATGCAGCAGGCAAGTCACAAGCAAGCATAATAGCGCACAAAACAAATGCAACAGAACAGGCAACGCACAGAAGCAAGGCAGCAAACAAAGCCAAGGCAGCATGGCAACCAACAAGCCAAAACAACAAGCGTAGCACACAAGTCACAAGCAAACATACAACAGCATAGCAGGATAAATAACAAGCAACAAGTCAAAGGCTAACAAACAGCCCAAACACCTTTATGTCATCATTTTCCACAAGAGGTAAACCCTTCAGAACTTTAAGAAAAAAAACAATAGCTTTACATCATTGAGAGGTAAGAGAGAGAAAGAAAAAACCTGCACATTGCTGTCCAACAAAACTGTCAAAACCTGTTCAAAACGTGCACCAAAGAGGCAAGCTAAAAGCAGCATGAAAAAGTGACCAAGCAAGATAGCAAAAGAGTTCAAAAATCATGTTATGGTTTCCCCCCAAAATCTTTTCTCTGGGATATATAACAGATGCCAAAACATACAGTGAGGGGCGGATAAAAAACTAAAAAAAAAAAAAAGAAAGAATCATTGTTCATCACCTTCAAAATCTCTTTTCAAACTCACCCTGCATAGATATTTTTCACAGAAAAAAACCTCCCTCGTCAAACTTTATGCATTACCCCATTGTAAGCCCATAATAACTTCAATACTAACCTACAATTTCATGTCACAACATAAACCAAACCATGAAACCATTAACAACCATTTAATCATTTAAACCAGGAATATAACCACCCACCTATTACAACAATCATACTAACAGGTCCATTATTAAAATTACTGTGAATACTCCCTCTGATCTACTCCAACCTTGAGTCCCTCACAATTTCCCCAAACTCACGCAAATACTCATTCCATCTCGTTTAACATCCCTAAATCCTACTAATATATCACTCACGTATTTACACTTTATTCACTGATACCATACATGCAAGTCAAAAAACAGAATCACCACGACTCTACAATGCAAAACAGTTTCAAACAAAAGGAGAAGAATAAAGACGAAATCAAGTTTGTTTCAAGAGTAGAAAGGATTTGAACTCATCTCTTTTAGAACTCTGTCGGAGATACTCCAATAGCATCTCACCAAGGCGAGCTTATCATCATTCACACCGATGACCCATCAGCATCGCACAACCCACATCGTCGACACTCAACTCATGTTGTAGATCCGCTTGTAGACCACCACCGCAAATTGGAAACAAAATCGTGAGCCACCGCGCTGATGAAGACCGACGCTTTTTGATTCCGGTAACTCTAATCCATTTTTCTTTGATTCAATGATTTTGTTGTCTAAAGATAGGCTGAATTTGTGAGAACTGATTTTGTTGTTAAGAAGGAGAGAGATGGAGTTTTATTTACCGATGCTGCTCTTTCTCTATTACGTTATGATACATATATAAATTGTTTTTATTTTGTTTAATAAAACCAAAACCATGTGTCACCCAATGATGGGGTGTCTGTTGAATTTAGAAATAAGTATTAAAAGTAAGGTTAAAACAATAACCTTATTTAGTTTATGAGCGCGGCGCCTCTCTGTTCCTCTTCCAATGCATTTTTTATTTTATTTATTTAGTTAATATTCATTATTAGGGTTTTAGTGATTTAGATCTTGGGCCCCTGGGCTTTAAAATTCATCACTTTACTTGTTATAACCTTCCTGTTTCTATTTATCACCTTTAATTTTAGTCACTTATTTGATTTAATTTATTTAGTTTGTTTATTTAAGTTAACTAGATTTAATTAATAATTTAATTTTATAAAATACTCCAAACAATATACATTTTCATTTTAGTTAGTTTTTTTATTATTATTGATTGAAATTATCCACTTGTACATAAAAAACAAATAGGTTTTAATTCCCCCACTTAACCTCTTCTTCTTTTGTAATTAAAACTTAATATTCACATATCAAAAATCTAAAAACACTCTTTTAATTATTACTCAAATTTATTCTAAAACTCGCAAAACACTCAACCAATCAAAACTCCCCCCGACGGGCATGTTATCTATGTTCTACCGCGATACCGGCCGTGCCTATTGCTAGAATGCGTGCGTTAATGTCGCCCACTAAAAAACACAAACAAACCAACCATTTTCTAGAGGAACTATGGTGTTCTGATTCCTTCATTGGATACGTAGGCAAAGGGTCACGAAACCCTCACGAACGCAATAATCAAAAACCATCCATTTCCCTTTAAGAAAGTATAGTTGTAGATAAATACACCCTTTAAGACAAACAAACAAAATGGATCCCGTTGAGTACAACGGATGCAAGGGGTGCTAATACCTTCCCCTCGCATAATCGACTCCCTTACCCTTTCTCTTGGTTGCAAGACCATCTTATCCATTCCCTTGTGGTTTTATCGATATTTCCCCTTCCTTCGGGATAAATAAAGTTCGGTGGTGGCTCTGTGTTTTCTGCCGGTGGTTTCAGTAGGCGTTCACACTTTTCTCTTCTTGTAGCTGCTTCGTAAGCTCCAAGACCTTCTTCTCACTAGCATAGAATTGAGCCTCGAAAGTATCTCGTTCTTCCTTAAGCTGAATCCATCCTTTTACAAGTCTTCGAGATAGGTAGGCATTTCGGGATGGAGGATAGTATAGGGAACATCTCCTTCAACCACAGGCTTCATGATGACTGGTAAGATGGAAGGATAAGGCATCACAAGTTTCTGAGCACGAGCTCGCACCCATTTAAGGTAAGGCTCGAGGGGAATAGAATTCTTGTGTCCTAGTGTCTTACTAACCACCTTGTTCAACATCCTCCAAGCTCGGATAAACCTCTGGCGGTAACCTTGATCATCATTCTCGTAGTCAAATACCACTCCTTGGATAAGCATCTCATGTGGACCATCCCTTCGGGCGTAACCAAACTGTCATAAGGCCAAGCAGGGGTTGTAAGTGATTCCTCCTCTAATGCCAAGTAGAGGGACATTATGGAATTCTCCACAATGGTCGATGATAGTAACATTATCCAAAGATTGGGAACACCAAAGAATATCTGAAAGTCTGAGCATCATCAACCTATGGGACCACCTTAAACCTTGCTCATTCTTTAATAAAGATTGGGGAAGATGTGAAATAAACCATCTTGCCAAGAGAGGAGTACAATAAATGAGGATACCTCTTTTCCTCATAGTGCGAGAGTGAAAAGAATGTAGGATGTCTCCTAACAAAGTAGGCACTGGGTTATGAGACATGAAGATTTTGGCGACATTTATATCTATGAGTTGGTTAGGATTTGGAAACAAAACCATACCATAGATGAGAAGGGCCACAATTTCCTCAAAAGCTTGTAAGTCCAAGGAGTTCAAATATTCTTGAGCTTTCTCAAACAAGAACTTGTCTAAGAAACCTTTGACACCACTCCTTGTTTCCCAATTAGTTGTGACATCAGATTGTTGCAAGTGTAGGGATTGAGCAATCTCTTCTGGTTTTGGATCTCTTTCTGTAATGTTGAAGGGTAGTTGATTGAGAATGGGAATCCTCAAGAGTTGGGAGAATTCTCACAAAGTTGGCACAAGTTGATAATCGGGAAATGTGAAGCAATGGTGTAGAGGATCAAAGAATTGGAAGAGCACCTTCATCATATCTTCATCAGTGTTGGAGGTAACCAAGTTTAGGAGGCGACCATGTCTTTAGGTAAATGGAGAATTCTTAGGAACCCTTGATGCTAACTCTTTAAGTTGAGGAGGGATCCTTACGAGATTGACTTGAATGGTTTTCCTGCGAATAGAATCCATGTCCTACAAAACAGAACAAAGATAAATCCCAAAAATCCATGAAATGGTTAGTGAGTATGAGTATGATGGTATGATGCTTATGATGTTATATACAAGTAAATATATACAAACAAGACAAACAAGTCCTTAGGTTTAGGCTTACATGGAGTCTTATAGGTAAGTACCCTCTTGAAGTTTAGTTGGCTCAAACCTGTCCTAGAAATAGTAATCAGGTTCTAAGGGGCTTAATATCACTGGTTTGTTTTCTCGGGCATTGTTTCAGCGCAAGCCTCTTTAGTGGCGACCGAAATATCCCAAAAAACCAAACCTCAATGAGTGTAGTATCGAGTATCTACCAACTTCGGACTGCACCAAAGCCGGTTATCTCACTATGTCCTAATGGCCAAGTTGGTCAAGTAAAGGTTCTAGAAGTCAGTTAGTGCTTCATGACATCACTCATCGGCCCCGTATTCTCCTTGACTACTCAAGGGCTACCGGTACCCACAAATATGTCACACTAATGTAGCTATTGTTAGACCATGACGGTATACCCCGCATAGTTTCCACAATGTATTGCTACTTACCTATCAGGTATCCCAAATTTGGGTAGAGGATTTAAACCCAAACAAAGAACTAAAATATAAAGCATATAAGTCAAACAATGAAATCAAATAAAGGTGATATATCCCTAAGTTAACCCCACTTTTATGTTTTTCCACAGCAGAGTCGCCAGTTCTGTTATACGGTGGGAGAACTGACTTGGGATGTTTTGCATTTTATTGCAAATGTTGCGGTTAGCAAGAGTCGCCACCGACTTTTCTTTTATCCAAAAGGAAAGGCTGAAAAGAATAGGAAAGACCTTTGAGATTATTTCTTGAGTTCGGGGGGGGTAGATTATGAAAAAGGAAGATGTTAGCACCCTTTTCATCCATAGTTATCTATGGGCTCTTAGTTGCTTTCTAGATCACTTGCTTTTGTTTGAAAATGTGCTTTGTGTGGTTTTTGAAAGTATTTTGAAAAGACGCCATCGTTTAGGGAAACTTTGTAATAGTTCTCGTTCGTAAGAACGTATACAAAGTGTTGATCTTTTGAAAATGTTTCAAGTTTGAAAGATGTTTTGAAAGTGTTGGTGTTTGTTTTGAAAATAACAAGGATGTTTTTATTTAAAAATGAGCAAGCAGCTAGGAACATTCTACCTACTCAAAAGTCTTAGTTCATTTCTTCCTTTCCTTTGATATTTCTATCTTACCATTGATTTGGTAAGAAGCCTCATCTTTGGATGTAAAGGGACATGTGTGGGTCATCGTATAGCCATGATAGCAATGTTGTGAGATATCTTAGCATTTCTCTTTGAGGGACTAAGATCATTTTGAAAGGCAACATTGATAACGTCATTGAGGGACTATGATCTTGTATTTTTGATTGCTTTTTGCTAAGATATCCCACATGCATAACATGGTCATTTTTGTAAGGCAAAAAAGTGGAATTTCCCTAAGGTTGCACGTGTGCAAGTGTGTTGGATTTACATGCTTGGTTATCTTGAATTAAGGTTTGCTAACTTATTGATTTTAGTCTTTCCATACAAACCCTAATTTACTAGCATTTATATAAAGTGATAAATTGCGGAAAGTAAAATTAATAAGCTATTACTTCATTAGGGGAGGGGGTGTACAAATTTACAAATGGAGATTTACAAGAAAATCAAATCTAATTATCTATTACAACCATATTGAATATTGTACAAAATTGAAAAGAAAATAATGCAAGAATGTAAATGAAAAAAGAAATGATTTTGTTTTGGTTTTTAAGGGTTTTAACCTAATGTCTAAGAAGGAAAAATAATTAATTAAAGATAATAATATTAAACCTAAATTAGTTAAGAAAAGAAAATTAGGTTAAAAAAAGTATTTTTTAGGGTTTTTTATATGAAAGGTTTTAATTTAATAAAATTGAAAATTAATTAATTAAAAGAAACCTAAGTTCTAAATTGATTTTAATTTAAAAGAAAATAATATAATAAATAAACCTAAGTCTAAATATTAAAAAAAAAAGAAATTTATTTGCTTAAGAAAATGTTTTTTTGGTCTTTTTGCATTTATAGAGAAAATGAAATAAATAAGTGTAAATAATAAATGAAAATATTTTTATATTTTTTTCATTAAATAAAAATAAAAATAATATTAATAAAAATATAATAAAGAAAAGAGAAATAAAATAGAATATGATAAAAAGAAATAATAAAAGAAAATGGGCCAGAGGTGCAAAAGTAGTCAAGGGGTTAGAAAAAAGCAAAAAAAGTGGAAAGCCCAATGTGGAGGCCCAGGCACTGCTTGCTGAAACAAAAAAAAAGAGTAAAAATGTGAAAAATGAATAAAAGGTAGCGCGTTGGATGTTGAACCCATGCCCTTTTGGTTACCAGCGCGCTGCCTTACCACTGGGGTGGCTATACATCCGTTTACTTATATTAAACCATAAATATATATTAGAAACTGCTTCCTGAAGACAACTTCATCTTCAACCTCGTGCCTAGCCAGACCACCTGCATCTTGTTCATTTCTCATCCATTTGCAAAAGTGTAAACATGAATCTTGTGGCAAATTTCCTCACGATTT